GGGGGGGGGGGGGGGGCGGGGGGGGGGGGGGGGGGGGGGGGGGGGGGGGGGGGGTGGGACTCCCAGATAAAAGTGATGGGGTTGCTTGTTGTCTCGCATTGGGGTGTAAATTGCAGATTTTGGTGTTAGGGATGGAAAGTCACTACATTTGCCCATTCAGGTAGTACTGTGCATAAAGAAAGTTACATAATGCCCCGACACTGGCCACACAGCAATCTCCCTAAGGGTTTTAGTTTAAGCTTGAGCCAAACCCACATGTCCCACATTGGTATCCCTTAGTGGTTTAATTTTAATTTTCCTACATGTATGTCCCCGTCACTTTTATATGAGAGCACCCCCCCCCCACACCCCCCCTCTGGCTGTCATATACCATTTAGGTCTTTTTACAGACTGAAATGACAGGGTTCTCTTCCTTTTTTACACTTTGACTAGTGAAATCCCTACCCTTTCACATCCTTGAAGACTGAAAAAGGTACCCCTCTTGGGACAGAATGACTCTCCGTATAGGGTATTATATATAAGGATTACACCTATGCCCTCCCCATTGTTAACTTTATCTTCCTGATTTATAAACAAAAGTTGCCTTTTAAGGGTTTCCAGTAACAATATTAATTTTTGTTTCTGTGGGCAAATTATTGCAAGACAATTCTATAAGTGAAGCTTTGAAAGTTCAGACAAGTTTGGCATATTTCTGTCAATTTATTTAACTGTTTTAAAAGGTGTGACAAACATTGTGTGCAATAGTGAGTGACCTGTGGTGGGCTGGTTTTGTTGTCCTTTGCAAGTTTCTCACTGGGCAAGCAATAATATGATAAATATTGTAAATAACCCACTTTTATGTCTCTCTTTTTACTTTATGAACTGTTCAATTTAATTAGTTGGTTCTTCAAAACTGTGGCCTAAGGGTTTTTAAGAAAACTGTTGTTTGAGTCATTGACACAGGCAGCTTGGCAGAAAAAATCCGACCAGTTCGATTGGTACCAATAGATTATGATGTCATTCCAATGGTTCCATAGGTGAATATGCATCTCATTAAGGGGACTTCGATTATTTTCTCATGTGGTCCAGCTGGGTACAGGGCAATTCCGATGGTCTATTGGCACCAATGTTACGATTGGAAGCAATTTGATTTCTATATGTACATGTTCTATATCTTATGAGCATAGCCATCATTTTTAAGTATCCATTTTGTGTAATAGGTATTTAGTGCTAGCTAAGTTATTAGTGCCATGTATATTGGATATAGTAGGTCTACAATGTATATCACTATACAAATCAACAAAATAAATGTCATGTGCATTTAATGAATACTACGGTCTTATTAACTCAAGAAATTCATTGTTAACAGAAATGGCAAATGAGAAAATGGGAAAGCCAATTTACATGCATCAGACTCCAACTAAACAGTTCAATAACATATTAATTGTCACTGAATTGTTTTGATTTATTGCGGCGATGATATAAATTACTTTATACTACATGAAAAATTTCTGCAATTTGATTGGCTTAGAGCAGTGGGTAGTAGTATAAACAAATAATGGCATGATTTGTACGTGATATTTGGCACAAATACCACTCGTGATATTTCAAAATTGTCTCAAATTTCACTCGCCTAACGGCTCGTGAAATTACATATAACAATTTCGAAATATCACTCGTGGTATTTATGCCAAATGTCACTACAAATCGTGCTATTACCTATACAAACAGTGTTTTTCAGATTGTGCGTTGCGTTTTCCAGAATTAAACTATCAGCTTCTTCAGTAAAAACTGTTTTAAGATCACTTAACTACTGAAATTCTGGAAATCATCCCCCTTAATTACTGTAAAACGGACCTGTGTTATTAAAGCGCGCGTTACCTCCATTAAGCGTTCGCGACAATCTTTTCCGAAGTGCTAACTAGCTATTTTGTAGTCAAGTTTTATAGGCTTTTGTATATTATGCGAGCATTTTTTCGAGCATTTTAATGAGGCAAAGGCATCAAACAGTTTCGAGCATTTTTGTGGTATTGGACGACTTAACTCGGAAAATTTTTACTCGTATACTTTGTTGCCTTATCACGTATGCATTTTTGATAGCCTTATAAACCTTAACACGTCTAACATTAATAGAAAGTCTTTCCATGATGGGCATTTTCCGAGCATTTAAATGACTTTTGGGGGAGCAACAGCGGCAATTTTAAAAGTGGGGAAACAAAAGCATAATCTACAAAAGCCTATTCTGTCCTCACCTCTAAGATGTGCAAAACGACAGGGGCACCCAACAAGTATTTTCTGTAAGATATCTGTTCGAAGAAGCAACTATTGCTTAGAATCTTCTATTACTTGAGGACAGCTAAAGATTTTTACTATATGGCATTTCCATTCATAAACAATTTTCCTAGCTTATCTAATGAATTCCCTACGAGTTTCTGAAGTTTAACTTTTCACCTTTCCATCCCCAGGTTAGGCTATTTTTGTAGAAAAAAGGAAAGCTAAACTTTCGGATTCAAAATGTGATGGAGAGAGGAATCAGCAAAATTCTCACTTTCGTAATACGTTAAATTGCATCTAAAACTGGGAAAATGATACTGAAGCCCATTTCTCAAGCTTCCCTAGGATGACCGAACAGATACAAGTTTTATCGCTCCTCTATGTCTCCATCTTTTTGCTTTGCTTCCATCTTCACTTTCTTTCAGATTCTCTTGATGGGTAAACTCTTAGATTTGTCAAACCTGTATCAAGGACGGAAGAAAGTATTTTTTCTCATATATTAATGACTAGTATGTGAGATGAGTAGATTATACCAAGGGCTGTTGAAATACATAGAGAAGATTGGGGGTGACCACACATTTTTCAGAGGTAAATGCGCTTCAATATGAAGAAAAACGCTGAATAGGCATTTTTAGAAAAATTAAAAGTTGTTTTTCTTGCCAGATTTAAGAGTGTACACGTTAATTGACACATATGCAATGATAATTGTAACGACGCTTACAGTAAAGATGAAGAACAAATGGTAACAAAACAACCGTTCTTTATACGACTGAGTGGTCAGCAGCGTCCAGCGCCATGCAGTCTTACCTTTCTATGCGTTTGCCTCCAAAATGGTTTAAACGACATTTACCTCAAACCAAAAACTGATCGTTTGCCGAGCAGGCTTTTTACTTCCATTGATAAAAAGTTAGGGTCACGTGATTTTAGAAGTTATTAACTGGGCTTGTCTGAGGCGGCCCAGTTCATAAAATGCCCTAATTTTTTTCACTGGGGGCTGTCTGGGGGATATTTCTAGCAATTCATGGTGTGGGTGTGCCGTCCTACTCTTCAAATCCCGATCCTAGATCCTATTTCAGACCAATACCTATTAGGCAAATGTAAGGGTGTACCCCTCCGGGATGTTTGGTTCACAAAATGAGGGCTGTCAATTATGAACAGACAAATCCGGAGGGTATTCCTCGGAATTCGCGGTGGGGGTGTGTTGTCCGGCTCTCCAAATCCTGACCCTAGACTTTATGTCAGATCAATACCTATGATGCAAATTTTAGGGAGTGCTCCCCCGGGAATTTTCGTCGTTATGGTGATACACACTATAACTTATTAACTTGATAACCATTAAGAATGTTAACGTTAAGCAAAGATAGCCTCTGAAGCTAGCGTATTGTGCTTTTTCATCGTCTCCTTCAAAAGATGCCACGATGGGTACCTTGTGTGGTTTTTCTTTACTTTGTGTTGAAGTTTAAACCTTTTGATCAGTTTTTCCTCTTCCAAAACGTGACTGTAAATCTCTCTCTGTCTGTAGCTAGAGTGTGTGTGTACATCACAGGAGATGCTATGTCGCGCAATGGTCAGCGACAAGGTGATGTGGTGGCCTGACAGTGTATAGTACCCCCGCCCCCAGGAAAAATCGCCTTCGGCCGCCCAGTTAAACTCGCTTTTCGGCGATTCTTGTTATTTGGGCGTGGCCCAAATAGAGTAATCGAGATGGCTTGTTTTGATTCAAAGTTGCGATAGGCACGCAATACGTGCGAACGTAAACAAGCCAAGTGACATGAATGTTTGCCATGCCAACGACTGGTACAAGGTAAAAACCATACCGCAAAGAAAGCTCTGTTAGCAGCGTACTTGATCCCACTTGTACGATCTCAAAAACCTTGCAACAAAGAAACACAATTCCCAGCAGTGGGG